ATGTTGTTCCAGGACGTACAATGTGATGCATCACCTTCACCACCAGGTGGCGCTGTGTGTCCTGCAGTGGGACCAAAGCTACAGATGAACACACTGAGGACAAACTGTGTGTAGTACTTATCATGAAACTGACGTTAAATGATAGTAAATCTGCAGACTGTTGATGAAGAGTCACACTGTGGAGGAAGTGACGGTGTTCATGGCCCTGGTGCCTCCACCTTTACTGCTGTCCAATCCAGGTTCATTTATGTTTGGCTTTTTGGACAACAATTTAGAAAAATAAATAAATAAATTCTTTCATGTCAAAGTGAAAACAGATTTCTACAAAGTAAAGTCAATTAATGAAAAAAAAAAGACTGGATAAAGTCAAACCACCACATTTCAGAACAAGTTCTGCTCTGATTGGCTGAAAACTCTCACAGCATGAAACATGGATATTTATATCTGTGCATTTTTAAAATTGATATTTGAAATACTTGGTAACATGAATTCTTTCTTCCCTGCTTACTGTCAGCAGGTTTTGTCTGACTTTGAACTGTGAGGCTGAACACATCCTCTCAGGAACCATAAAGGTTTGAAACAAGAGTATTGGTAGAACGTTGATTAGAACACAGTTCAGGGGTTTCATAATGGTTCTCTAAACTTTAACCAGGAGATGTGTTTCTTTTGCTTGTTTGTTTTTAATATGGACATATTTTTCACTTTCAGACATGAACCAGGTTTGGAGGAGACTTGTTGAGTAGTTTTGTGTAATTTCTTAACTGTCCAGCATCATATTTGATATAAATCTGATGGACTGATACCAGCCTTTAGAGGCCGTAGTGATGCATTCAACAAGTACAACAGTTAGATTTAGACTCTGTTCTACTTGTATCAGACCCGTCTACCGATACTTTTTGTTTTTTGTGGTACAACTAGTCAAACTTGCTCAATCAGTTGTTAAAGTTCCATGAAAACAACCCAATAACTTCACATCATGATGCTGCCACCACCGTGCTTCACATCCAAACATCACATCTAGTCTGATGACTGAAAGCTTGATGTTGGTCTCCTCAGACCAGAGAACCTTCTTCCAGGTGACTTCAGAGTCTCCACATGTCTTCTGGTGAACTCTAGTCCAGATTTAATCTGAGCTTTTTCCAACAGAGTCTTTCTCTTTGTCTCCCATAAAGCTCTGATGGTGAAGAACAGAGAACAGCTGTTGTATGAACAGTCTCTAACATCTGAGCTGCTGGAGCTGGAAACTCCTTCAGAGGAGTCATAGGAGTCTTGCTGGCCTCCCTCTCTAGTCTCCTTCTTGCTCTGTGACTCAGTCTCTGAGGACGTCCTGCTCTAGTCAGATCTCCTCATGGTCCATAGTCCTTCCATGTCTTCATGATGGTTTTAACTGGACTCCAGAGATGTTCAGTAACTTGGAGATGTTCTTCTATCGTCTCCTGACTGATGCTTCTCAACAACCTTTTCCACCAGTTCTTGGAGTGTTCTTCAGTCTTCATGGTGTGGTTCTATTGAGGACTACTAAAGAGGATGAGGAGCTCAGAATCACTGCTCCTTCTCATCTAAAAGATCCAGCTGAGGTGTTCTGGACATCTGATCAGGCGACTTCCTTTGGGGGCTTTCCAGGTGCATCTAAAGGGTTAGAGACCCTGAGAGGTAGACCTAGAACTTGCTGGAGGGACAAAATACCTCATCTGGCCTGGGAACACCTTGAGATCCTCAGGAGGAACTGGACAGGAGGGGGGGTTGCCAGGAGGAAGGACATTAAGAATGACCTGCGTCACCTGCTGCATCTGCAACCTGAGCAGGAAAGGAGGGAATGTGTGGACAGCTCAAGAGTTTATGTAGAAACAGAAGTAAAATACCTGCATGCTGTACTGGAACTGAGCTGCAGGTGGATCAGTGGTTAGCATCGTGGCCTCACAGCTAGAAGGTCGCCGGTTGGCGTCCCGGTGAGGACACCCGGGATCTTCCTGCGTGGAGTCTCCATGTTCTCCCCGTGCAGCGTGGGTTCTCTCCGGGTTCTCCGGCTTCCTCCCACAGTCCAGAAACATGCTGAGGTTAATTGGTGATTGTAAATTGTCCGTAGGTGTGAATGTGAGTGTGCTTGGTTGTCTGTCTCTAAGTGTAGCCCTGTGATAGACTGGTTACCTGTCCAGGTGAACCTGCCTTCACCCTGAGTCAGCTGGGATAGGCTCCGCCCCCCATGACCCTGGTGGGGATGAAGGTGTAGAGATGATGGATGGATGTTATTTAATAATATATTACACAGTGTGGTATTTTATCATATTACTTACTGGATGATAAATTAATCTGCAAAGTCAGTACTCAGTTACTTTCTCGTACTGCTGCACAGTATCTGCAGCTGTCAGGTGAATGTAACGAAGTAGAAGTAAAAAGCAGTAAAACATGGAAATACTCAAGTAAAGTACATTAAAACAGCACTGAAGCAAATGCAGCAGTACTACAGTGGAGTAGAAATACTCCATTACATGTAAAAGTTCTGCATTCAAATCCTACCTAAGCATCATCATCACAACAGAATTCTTCAGTCCTTCACCTCCTGCAGGTATTGTCATCTCCAGCATCATGTACTTTATCGTTACATTAGTACTCTCAACCTGAAAAGTAACTAAAACTTTGAAGTACATGCAGTGGAGTATAAACCAATCACAGCTGCGCCCTGGTTCAGTACTGGAGTAACTGTACTTAGATACTGCAGGGTTAGTTAACGGTTAGTTACCGGCTCGTGAGCTGCTGGTTAACGGGCTGCTCCCTCCGTGTGGGAGTGACGTCACGGTCACGTGACGCCGCCTCTCGGTGGGTCGTCTTATAAGCGGGCCGGACCGAGTCTCCGGGTCACTCTGCTCCGGTTCGTCTGTTGGATTCAGCCCAGAGAAAGTCTTCAGGCGGACACTTCCCTGCCTCTTCCAGGTGAGTTCGTCTGGTTCTGGTTCTGCTTCTTTGCTCCAAACTTTTAGAGCCGCAGCAGAGTTTCTGCTCCGGTTCTCTGGTCCTTCAGCCCGTCTCACAGAAAACTTTACAGAGCTTCTGAACTTTTCCGTTTCTTCCTCTGAATGAGTCGCTGCCGTTTAAACCCGCAGCTGAAAGTTCGAACCGAACTTCAGCAGCTCGAAGCTCAGACGGAGAAGTTCTGTGAAGTTCGGCGGAACTTTATTTAAAGTTCTCTGATTCCGTTCGAACACAAGAACGTTTGACAGAAAACTGCTGCTTTTACACTCAGAAAGCCGACAGTTACTTTAGTTACAGTACTTAGTTACAGTACTCTAACTTTTTGTACTTCACAGAGTTACAGTACTTCATGGAGTTACTTCACAGCGCTGCAGTACTTTACGATTTCCTGTACAGAGTTACATACTTTACACAGCTGCAGTACTTAGTTACAGTTCAAAGTTACAGTACTTAGTTACAGTACTTAGTTACAGTACTTAGTTACAGTACTTTACAGACTCAGCGTTGGTTGTTCTCAGCAGGTTGCTGCTCGTCTATTGTTCTGCTTTGTCTGGTTTTCACCGAGTCAGTCATGTAGAAAGTGGCGGGAGGTTCTCTGTCTGGTACCAGAACAACCTAAGGTTCTCTGTCTGGTACCAGCAGAAGAAGCTGATCCGAGTCCCGGTTCTGTAGGTGCTTTGTCAGTAGCCTGAAGGTTAAAGTTCTGAGCTGTTCTTTGAGCAGACCTGCTGGAACCTTGAAGCCCTCGTGAGCCCGGTTCATGTGCAGCAGCTCGAACTGATTTAATCAACGGGTTTCTCTGAATAAAGCAGCTCGCTGCTCTCAGGGTTCTCCGAGCCTCTTGCTGAACCTTCTGTGGAAACATTGGAGCTGTTTCAGAGGCCTGCTGACGTCTCCATCGAACTGGACCGATTTAATATTTCACATCCTCGGCTACAGCTGGCAGGATTCATCCATGACATGTTCAATATTCAAATTGTTAAAAAGTCCAAATTCTCTGAGTGAAACCACGTTCTCGTGTTCTGGTTCATGTCAAAGCGAGTGTTTCTCTCAGAGGGAGAATCTACTGGACTGGATGCTGTGGGTTCACTCCTGGGTTCTGTCCTCTGTGACACTAAGCTGAACATCTTTGGACTAAACGAGACATTTGAGGAACTCTGATCCTCATTTTTACTGTTTTCTGACATTTTACAGACAAACAGCTGCTGGATCCTGTCAGAACACGTTGGTCTAACTGTGGCTGTCTTATGGGAATAAAAGCTGAGTGGGTTTGGGTTCGGTCTAACTGAACCAGTTCAGAACCTCTTGGGACTGAACTGACCTCAGTGTGTTGGCTTCAGTCTGAACTGTTTCATCTGGAGGTTCTGTCCATGTTCTCTTCTGCAGCTTTGTGTCCTGATTTATTCCCTCAGGAGTTTGAACACTGAGGCAGCTGAAGCTCCATAAAACACTTCCAGACTCTGACTGTCCAGGTGTTGGATCGTCACCAGGGAGTGAAGTGATCAGTCTGATGAAGGCTGAGAAAAACAGCAGATTAGTTTGCAGGAGTCTCTTTGAAACTCTGGAAATATTCGTCATGAAACAGTTCCTTTGTCTTAAAACACACTGATTTTTCAAAAAAGGCCCAAAACCTCATCTGACACATTGTGAAGAAGGTTTGGAGAATATCTCCGGATGGATCCTGTGTTTTTAAAGCAGCATGAGCAGTTTTCTGATGAGCTTCAGTAGGTCAGGATGTTTGAACTTTCCACTCAGAGCAGATAGAACAACCTGATGAGCTTCAGCTTCCTTCAAGTCACTTTAATCAAAAACACTTTTTCTGACACATGCTCGAAGCTCGTTACAGATTTTCTTAACGTGTCCGTTTTCATTCCATATTTTCACATCAGTGTTGCATAAAAGTGTTTTCTGTCCCTGATCTCAGTAATTGGATTAACTCATGTTGTGCGTCATGAAACATTTCGTTTTGTCTCCTTCAGTCTCGGAGCTGTTTGATCACGAGCTGACGAATGCTGAAGGACTTCTCTAAACACCAAACCTGCTCTTTCACATGTGTTTCATTCTTTATTGATCAGAACAGCGTCTGTACCACCTGAATACAAACACTAGAGATAGTCCTGCACATGAACACTTTCTCAGCAACAGGAGACTTAACTGTGGTCACTGATGAATCCTCAGATGTTCTCTGTTCTGTGGAAAAGCTGTGAAGCTGCTGTGAAACGCTGATGGACTCCTCTGAGCTGAACCATGATCAGCCTGCTGACCTCCATCAGGGAGATGAAACTCAACAAAGTCGTCTGAAACACCGGCTGCCTCGTTCTCATGTTAAAGGTTTCTGATGTAAACCCAGCATAAGGAGCTTTGGGTTTATTTATTTGGACAGTTTGCCTTTAATAGACTCACTGCTGTCCAGAACCGTTTGTGTCTCTGGAATCAGAACCAGGGATCAAGCGTACGAACACCAGGTATAATGCTGTTCTGGGCTGATGTTTGTTGCATTAGCTAATTGTTCTGCACATTTCCCCACTGTGGGATTAATCGTGGGCTTATCGTATCGTATCGTAATTAAACTGCTGAACTGTTAAACTGTTGATCCGTTGTGAACAGAACCAGCTGAACTTTGCCTCTCTGTCCACAGCTAACCTCCCTCAGAATGGGTGACTGGAGTGCTCTGGGTCGTCTGCTGGACAAGGTCCAGGCCTACTCGACCGCCGGAGGGAAGGTGTGGCTGTCGGTGCTCTTCATCTTCAGGATCCTGGTTCTGGGGACGGCGGTGGAGTCGGCCTGGGGCGACGAGCAGTCGGCCTTCAAATGTAACACGCAGCAGCCCGGTTGTGAGAACGTCTGCTACGACAAGTCCTTCCCCATCTCCCACGTTCGCTTCTGGGTGCTGCAGATCATCTTTGTGTCGACGCCCACGCTGCTCTACCTGGCTCATGTCTTCTACCTGAACCGGAAGGAGCAAAAACTCAACCGGAAGGAGGAGGAGCTTAAAGCCGTGCAGAACGACGGCGCCGACGTCGACATACCGCTGAAGAAGATCGAGATGAAAAAGCTGAAATACGGCATCGAGGAGCACGGCAAAGTGAAGATGAAAGGAGCGCTGCTGAGAACTTACATCGTTAGCATCTTCTTCAAGTCCATGTTCGAGGTGGGCTTCCTGGTGATCCAGTGGTACATGTACGGCTTCAGCCTGTCAGCCGTCTACACCTGCGAGAGGTCTCCGTGTCCACACAGAGTGGACTGCTTCCTGTCCCGGCCCACCGAGAAGACCGTCTTCATCATCTTCATGCTGGTGGTGTCTCTGGTGTCGCTGCTGCTCAACATCATCGAGCTGTTCTACGTCTTCTTCAAGCGGATCAAGGACCGAGTGAAGGGCAAACAGCAGCCGACACTGTACCCGAGTGGCGGCACGCTAAGCCCCACCCCCAAAGATCTGTCCTCCACCAAGTACGCCTACTACAACGGCTGCTCGTCGCCCACCGCTCCGCTGTCGCCCATGTCGCCGCCAGGCTACAAGCTGGCCACCGGGGAGCGGGGAACTGGCTCCTGCCGAAACTATAATAAGCAGGCCAACGAGCAGAACTGGGCAAACTACTCCACAGAGCAGAACCGGCTGGGCCAGAACGGGGGAGGAAGCACTATTTCAAACTCCCACGCACAAGCCTTTGATTTCCCCGACGACACCCACGAGCATAAGAAACTGTCCTCGTCAGCGGGACACGAGCTGCAGCCGCTGGCGCTGATGGACGCCAGGCCCTGCAGCCGGGCCAGCAGCCGCATGAGCAGCCGGGCCAGGCCGGACGACCTGGACGTCTAAACCGAGGCTCCTCCCTCCACCTCCGCTGGCTGCGGCCGGCGAATCAGGAAACACTTGATCACATGGTTCATCAGAGGTGGGACTAACCTCAGTCTTCAGTAGAAACTCTTAGTTGGTCAAAGAGACGCTAAACCTGCTCGGTAACACTGTCAAGGTACAACATCTGTAGCTTTAGTGGCCTTAACCCACCTGTAAGAAACAACACCGGACCAGGACAAGAACCAGAACCAGGTCCAACAGGGACACCCCTTAGAACTAGATCCAGGTCCAACAGGGACGCACCTTAGATTTAGAACAAGGTCTATTAGGGACTCCACTTAGAACGAGTCCAACAGGGATGCTCCTTAGAACCAGAACCAGGTCCAACAGGGATGCTCCTTAGAACCTAAACAAGGGTCTAACAGAGAACCTCATTGGTTCCCTGACTGACTGACTGACTGACTGACTGACTGACTGGGTTTTAACTTGCTGAGGTTCTATATTCGGTTCTGTTCTGTTTGTTAGTTCTTTTTCCAGCAGCTTTACAACAGAGTGTCTCCTTTACGGTCCAACAGGTTCTTTAATAACTGTTCTCCATTGGTAAGCACTGATCAGAGGTCCAAACCTGCAAATCTAAATCCCCTAAACTAAACTGATCTAATCTAAACTAGTCCAAACTAAGTTAAACTATCTGGTCCAGGTTCGGGAAGCATCTCCATGAGAATCAAGAACGCTGAGTTTGGATCGAGGATAAATTCTGCTGCGTTCAAGTTGGTTTGTCGCCCCAAAGACGTGTTTCTGCAGAACTAAGCTGCAGCTCAGCACATCACAGCAGGTCCAATCAGAACCAGTTTTATCTGTAGCTCGGCTCATGTTAGGCTGTTGTCACTGCAGGGTGCTGAACGCGTGTTCCAACCAGCAGAACCGTCCCTGTGGAACCTGTTGCCGGGCTGGTTCGGTTCTTCTGAGCAGTCGTGAGCTGCTGCACGGTTCTTAGTGCTGATTGGTTAGACTCAGAAGACAGATGCTGATTGGTTCGACTCCGTCCGGTCACTGCTTGTTCTGGTCTCTGAGTTGATGTTGGAGCTGTTGGACCTGCAGTGGAACCAGAAACACTGAAAGGTTCCCTTCAGCTCCAGTCTGAACAGCTGATCTGTTGTTTTTCAGATTTCAGGACAGGATTTAATACAAATGTGAGATCTAAAGATCAACGACTAATTGATTAGTCATCAGCTTTTAAATTGATCTCTATCCACGCTGACCAATCAGTGGGAGTCATTTTAAGTTCTGATTCAGTGGATGTGTTCTGGGTTCTTCCTCTGTGACACTAAACTGAACGTCTTCGGACTAAACACGACGTTTGAGGAACTCTGATCCTCATTTTCTGACGTTTTAGGCCAAACAGCTGATTGATTGATCCAGAAAGCGACGAGTCCTGGTGTGGCGGGTTATGGGACACTCTGTTCTAAAGCTGGTGAACAGCACACGATCAGAACCAGCAGGACGGGTCAGGGTTTGTAGATGGAAATCTGCGCTGCTCCTACAGTTTGCTGGTGTGTCAGACATGATTAATCCATTTCTTCTCGTTTCCACTGACGTCACGTTTGAAGTCAGACAGTTTGTGTTGCAGAGCGTCCATCCCTCCCTGCAGGTGACCTACAGAAGGCTTCATTACGTTCCTGTTCGTATTTATTGCCTGGCATCAACCACTAAGAGCAACAATTGACTACTATCCAGTATCTCAAAGAAACATCTTCCATCAGCTCCCCACAAACTGTGTATTTATTGACAGTCTTTCTATTGTTTCTTGTGTAAGTTTATCAGTCAGCATGGACTGTTATTTCCTGAGAAACTTTGAATTTGTGTTGCTGTTGTGTTTTCATTGTGTGTGAACGTGGCAGGAGACGGTTCGGCTGATCTGTCTGTTTGTGGCTTCATTCAGAAAGGCTTTATCAGTGCATTCGATGAGCTCTTTCTCCTTCTTCATCTCCTGAGAGAAACGCAGCAGAGTGATGATTTTCGTATTTGAGTGAGTGATTTTTTTTGTTCTGTAGGTTTTGTTTTGTCTTTCAGACTCGATGTAACCGTTGCTGCTTGAGAAATAGATATGTAGTACTGTAAATCAAGCTAACTGTGTCACAATAAAAATGTGAGTTTTTAGAAGACTGCTTATAGATCTGGACTAATATTTAGTCACTTATATGAAATGTATGCCGATGTAGCTCCACCTCTACAAACACTAGAATCAATCTCAATTTGGACTTCTTCTGTTTTTGTTGTAATGTTTGAACTTGTTTTGTCGGTACTTACAGATGTCATGGATCTTTCGGCTACAATGGCATTTGCACTGAGACGTTGGTGATAGATAGAGATGTAATATGATTCACACAGTCAGTGGTTCAAGAGTTTTCTGATAGACATGTTACTAATTTATTTTATAACAGAAATCACTACAGTGCATAATATCAGTGACCGGTTGAGAACGGAGGAGATCCACTGTTGTACAGTGTCAGTGCATGATGGCAAAGAGAACTCATTCATTGTATCTGTGAAAAGCTATTTTAACCAATAAATATTTTTCTGTCTTAACCACTGACTGACTTCTTTCATTTCATCAGGCAGTAAAACTAAAGCTCATTTTAGTTTCAGTTCTTCTGCCACCGTTTGTCTAAATAACATTAAAAACCGGTGACACACACACACACATATATATATATATATATAACAGTCAAATTACAGTTTAATACTCTACATGTATTTCTAGGAAAAAACACAACTAATGCCAATTAACAGAAAAGACATTTGGATTATGTAATTTATGTAATTTTACACAAATTTGTTTGGTAGATGTATAATTACAGACAAAATGTTAATCCATGTGTTCTCATCAGCGTGTAAGAGCTACAAGCATCATCAGTAATCTGTCAAAATACAGTTTTATCTGTAAATATACCATTTATAAATCCATCTGTCTCTCTGTCTAGTTATGGATGGATGGATAGATGGATAGATGGATAGATGGATAGATGGATAGATGGATAGATGGATGGATAGATGGATAGATGGATAGATAGATGGATAGATGGATAGATAGATAGATAGATAGATAGATAGATGGATAGATGGATAGATAGATAGATAGATAGATGGATAGATGGATAGATAGATGGATAGATGGATAGATAGATAGATAGATGGATAGATGGATAGATGGATAGATAGATAGATAGATGGATAGATGGATAGATAGATGGATAGATGGATAGATGGATAGATAGACCAGAGTTCACTCTGGTGGATTTCTGTGAAAAGTCTTTTGAACTTGCACCAAACACTCCAAACTTTCATTCAGAACCACCAAAGCAACCTCAATAACTGCAGGAAGACTAAACATGACAAAATGATCCAAATCAGAGAGATGCTGATTCAGACTAATGATATTACACACATAACAATGATAATAATCATAGGAGGGCATGATCCTAACCCTACCCCACAGATGATCCGTGCAGGTGCTACAGGTCACCACACGTTCTGCACTCGTTTGTTCCAGCTGCTGGTTTTTGAACAGAACAAGTTCTTCTGTTAAAAGAGCGTTTTCTGCACGTTCTCCAGCAGAATGCAGCTGAATCAGGAGCTTCTCAGCTCAAAGACAACAAACTAAAGTTTCAACACCGGCGTCTTCATCAGTCTGGACCTGAACCAGAAAGATTGAGCCTGAACCAGCTGAACAGGGATTCACATCCACTGAACGACCGGTCAGAGGACGGGCGTCGCCAGAGTCCACTTTAGTCTTTATATGTAGTCATTGTACAATCAAAGGTCACCAGCGGTTCTGTGGCTTCATTGTTGAATGAACAGCAACAGAAGTGCAGTTGGACCTTCTCACATCAGCACCGAACCTTCTCATTTAGGACGTCTGACTGTCTGAACGTCACCTTTTCTGTCAGCTTTCACAAATGTTGTTTTCTGAACACATGATGTAAATGAATGTGAACAGAAATAAAGCTGCAGGTAAAAGTTTGGTTGAAGGCAGCTTCTCCTTCTTCAGATCTGTTGGAATTAGTGTTTGTTAGCAGATGCTGCAGTTCCCAGATGTTCCCTAAACGTCTCACTGGTCTCCATCAGTTACAGCTCAGAGACAAAACTTTGGTTTAAACAAAAGGAGCTGTGATGTCACATTTACCTGAAACCAGGTGAGCTGATCCAGCTGTTGATGTCTGAGTGCATATACTTTATATATCATATAGATATCATCAGCTTTCTGCACTTTGTTTCACCACCAACAGGAATGGAGCTTGCTCTGCTCCAGCATGTTGGACGTCTCCTCAGTCGGTGTTTTTCGGCTGCAGCGCCACATTCCAGTCATGCCAGCTGCCACAGAACATTACTGACCGCTCTGCTGCTCGGAAACACTTCCACCACAATAAGAACATTTCGATGTGTCAACAAGGCAGTTTACTGCAACCTGCAGCAGCTCTGAAGGCTCCACTGCCCTCAGCCTCACCCAGCAGCCACCAGCACGTCAACATCAGCACCTTCAGGGCTTTGTTCTCATTTACAGAACCCTCGGGTCTCTGAGCGGTGGCTTAGGTTCGGGTTCGCGGTTCTACCTGCACACAACCACGCTGGCCTTCATACAAACACATTTCATTTTACGATGAGAGTTTTTCTGCCCTCACTGCTGTAACATTAGTGGAGGATTGCATCATGTGCTTAGAAAAGAGGAAACTGGGTCCAGCTGAAGCTGCCAACCCTCCTGAGCACACAGAGCGGTTCTGATCCACAACAGGCGAGCGGTCGAGGTGCTCGTCCTGCAGCGTGCTGTACCTTTGATTAAAGCTTCCGTGAGACTCGGTTAAATTTCATAATAAGAAAGGACGCAGCCCTTTTTCACTTCTCCAAGTTTCCAATTTAATCTTTCCACAGCACTAAATCAAACCACATGTTGCAGCGCTGCAGCTCTGGACCACATGTGGCTCCGAGCTGGAGCAGCGAGGAGCGTTTGGGACGCTCAGCCTCCATTAATGAGATTCTCATTACAGTTTCTGTAAACTTACAACAGCTTCAGAGCTGTCAGAGGGACTTATGCCATCAGCAGGTTTTACACCAGCATTCATCTCAGCTCAGGCCACAGAAACATTACAAACCCAGAAGAGCAGAACCTGAGGATCAGAGCAGGTTCCAGCACTAAGCTTGGATTTTGCTGCCTGACAGGGACATGATGTCAGAACGCTACCGTGCTGCAGGAGAACTTAGAGTCCAGCTACAGTCCAGTCCCACAGCAGAAATCCAGACTTCAGCAGCACAAAGCCAAAAAGATGCTCAGCAGCTCTTCAGTTCAAGGCCGATCATCAGGAGGTTTCCTGCTGAGAAGTTAGACTCTGAAGGAATCATCTCACAGCAGATCCTCCTGCTGCTGCGCTTTAAACAGTCAAACAGAAGTCCAGCTTCCACCTTCTTCACCTTCATTATCTTATGAAAATACTGGAACTGAGATGTTATGTCTGGTTCTAAGGAGCATGAATTACTGACTTGGTCAAAGTCAGAATGTGAACCTGGTCCAGGAGGGGTTCTGGTCAGAGATCCTCCAGCTGATCGGCCTTGTTGTTCCTTCTATTTACAGACATTACAGCACGACTGAGCAGTGGAGCTGAAGTCAGAATGATCCGCCTTCTACACTGAAACGCTGAAACAAGTGAGAGGAGGGAGGCTGGAAGTGTTTCCAAGGATAATGTTGTTCTGCTGAGGTGGACGTGCTGCCTGGATGTGATGAGTTCATGAACACTCAGACAGTTGAAACCACGCGGCGCTCAGCTCAAGCTAAAAGCTCAGAGTCAGTTCTCTGAAACTTTCTAATCGGGATGTTCAGACTGGGAGCAGCTGCAGAGAGCTTTGATGTCCATCAGCAGAACAAAGGCAGCGATCCATCACAGGTTCAGGAACCATGATGTTCTGATGTCCGCTGAAGGTTCTGATAGCTGCTGAGCTCAGATTAAGAAGCTCCAACGTTTCTGCTCACTGTGGCTTTAAAACCTGCTGAACACACTCCACATCCTCTTCCTCATGTGGCTGAAGTGGTGTCACTACGTTGATCAATCTGTGGCTCAGTTTGGTGGATTTGCTTCATTTTAAAGTGTCCATAAACTCTGCAGCTGCACGTTTCCTCTGAAACCACCACAGCTGAGGATCTGGGTCTGAAGTCAGACTTGTGTTCACACTCCATCAGACCCCGGCTAAAGACAGGAACACTGACCCAAAGCTCTGCCATGTTCAGGTGCTGAGTCCAAAGTAAAGCCTCTACAAACGTGAGAAGCTCACAGATTTACTGCTTCTTCTGTGAAAACAAATCGTTTTTCTTTGTGGACCAGTGCAGCTGTCGGACATGGTTGTGGAGACTGACTTCATGAGATGAGTCAGGAAAGTTCTGGTTTCTATTCTGGGCATGAGAACACAGATTGAAGTGAACCTGGACTTAAAGGTTCTGCTTCTTACTGTTTAGCAGCCAGATCTGTTTCCATCAGAGGTCTGGTTTTATAGCTCACACTGAAGTCTTGAGCAGGATAGAACTGTGACGGTGGTGTAACTGGGTCAGACACAGGTTCAGGTTCTGTATCTTAGTGTTCTATAAGCTCAGCGAGCACATATCAGTGTGTATTAGCAGAATGAATGGAGGCTGTTTGCTCTGCTGTCAGAATAAGCTTCTTATCACGTCCAGCAGCTGAAGGCTGAATTTCTGCATGTCTGACAAACACACAAACACAATAGTCGCTGCATGTTCGACCCGCCAGCAAAGAGCCCGACCACACATCCCTACACTAAGGACGGAGGTCTGTGATGGACGTCAGATCAAACCTCACATGTTTAAAGTTCTCAGTCAATCAGAACCACCAACATCTGTTTCAGCGTCTGTCCACTGGGGGCGCAATCAGCAGAAACTAGCTTTTGTCTCCATGAAGCAAAGTGCATGTCTAAGTGCTGTTGGGACACGTGGCCCGGTATCTGTCACTACTCTGTAGTTTTTATCTGTATTTCAGTATTTCAGTGTTGGTGACTCATCTTACAGCCAATGAAACGCTTTCTTGAATTATTCTGTCCTTCTGCAGGTTCCTGCCAGAAACAGCAGAAACACAGGATCTGCAAACCAACCAGCAGTTCTGGACCATCTCTGTAGTTGTTGGTTAAGAGTTGGAGCTGGTTTGACTGATGGGTCAGGGTTCTGGTCTAGCAGTAGCTCTGATCGCTGAGGAAATACTGTGGCTGCTTACATTTAATAAAAACCTTTTAAAGGTTTTCTGTGGTCTGAAGAGCTGTCAGATGTTCACCAAATGTGCAGAAGACCATCTTCACCTGGATCCTGTCAGGTGTAGGTCTGAGCAATAAATCGCTGTTTTGACACTTAATACGATGAGAGAAGTGTCGAGGGTTAACCTTAACCCTCTACTGAACTAACCTGAACCCGAACCCGAACCCGTGGGTATGTTTGATGACAACATCTGAAGCTTCACATCAGTCAGTTAGAACTGGAGAGGAACCTGATGACTTAAAGTCCACGTAGTTGCTTTGAGTTCTTCTTCCTCCTGGTTTTC